GCACTAAACGACCCTAAGTATCTAAGTATCTGTTCCTCTTCTACCGTGCCACTGCTTGTTCACCACTTTAGTGCGGGTGTTGTCTTCTCTTGTACTCAATAGAAAACAGTATATTCAATTGCAATTAATTGTTGTATTTTCTATGTTTTACCAAAAAATAAAAAAAGAAGCATAACTGGTGTAAATTAATACGTTAATTTTTGTTGCCTCCACAACTCCGACTACTAACAGAGTTTATCAATTGAAAGTGAGTTGCGTGAATCATGAATAGAAACCAAACCTATTCTCCCTTTTATAGATTCAATTTTGAGCTTGAAGTGAGTCTAAAATTAACTCAAGAGCAATGCTAGGGCCACTCGCTTCCTGCACTCTCCGGCGAACACTTTCTCTTTTATTGGGCCACGTTATTTTGGTTACGAGACGTTGCGCTGAAAGCTTTAAAGAAGCTTACGTGGCCCAATGAAAGGGGAAGTGTTGGCCGGAGAGTGCCAAAAGCGAGTGTCCCTAGCACTGCTCATTAACTCAAATATAAACGATTCATTATTTCAAGGGCGTGTTTGGTTTTCGGTAGACAAGGGCATGTTTTACTGGTGGGCGTGCAAGTGTATGCTGACGGAAGGTAGGGCCCTCGAAGTTTTTTAATTCTTCTTAGTAGGTATTACACTATCACCGCGCGGACACACTTTTGTTCCATCCGCGTGGGGACATTCCACGTGACTGGGACATTAACTTTTTTATTTTCTCTCACAATCTTTTGTGTTTTGGATATTCTGGGATTTGACCAAAAGGAAGACGGTAGGTTATTTTAAATAAAATAATGAGTTTAAATTTTTTAAATAAAAAAATAAATTTAAGGGTGTTTTTTTTTAATAAAATTTAATGTAATTCGATTTTAAATTTATTAAGATATTTGAATAGTGAGAGGTTACCATCCAAAAAATATTATGGGATTTGAATTCTCCAATATTTAGTTGTATGTTGCTGTTTTTATTAATTTTAATTCCACTTTTATCAAAAATGGAAAGAAAAAAAAAAAAGACATTGCACATCTTTTCTTTCTAAAGAAAAAAATTATTAACAATGTTTTTTATAATGAATTTTTATAACAATAAATTTTTATTTTTTTTTAAATTTAAATAGAGTAATAATGTAAGAACAAAATCTCATGGTTTAATGGTTACTTCTTTATTATAAAAGGCATCTCATGTTAAGATTGATAGGTGTAGTGTTTAAGTTCCATATTAAACATTAAAAATATAATATTTTTGCATAATTTTATTTATATTTTTTATATATCATTAAATAAATAAATATAATATTTATATTATAAATCTAAATAGAGTAATAATGTAAGAACAAAATCTCAT